TATGCCCAGGTTAAATCCGTGAACATCCGACTACACATGTCCAGATGCGGACATTACAGTAAGGATGACCAATGTAGCCATCGTGATTCTCATATTCTTAACAACTCCTTTAAAAGCATTAGGCAGATTTTAACCAAATGCGATCAAAAGTATCTTCGAATTTACCCAGATTGTTTATCGGAAGATAGCCCACCAAAACAAACTGATACTAATACTGTATCAAAATATTCGACACGTTATCTTGTCATTGTCATATCAATGCTCTAGAGCTGTGTCGGACAACTTTTAACCTAATCAGTATCGAGGCTTATTTTTTAAAGTTAAAAAAAGGAAATAGATACAATTAGACCATAATTAAGTTTACTGATAACACGTTTTAAATTGCTTTCTAATTACCTGGTTAAGATACAGACCAAGAATCAAAATATCGAACAAGGTCAGTTTAATAAATACATAACTTTATTTTCTAATCTGTGACATTATCAACACACAACTCGTGTCAAATGGACTTTAGATGAAGAAGAGTAATTAAGTTTTCATAAATTTATTATTTTGAATTGACAAATATTTGTTTAAAAGTCAGTGTTTTTATTCTGCATGTTTCGTCCGTCCTTTCGTGTCCGGAGCGTGATTTTTCCCATAGTAAAGCCAGGTTCATGAAACGTGGTGTATATATTGGTCATACTAAGAGGATGTGTAGTGTATCAAAATCAGGCCATCGATCCCTCAATTACAGAGTTATTGTCCTTCGTTAAATTTTCGTGTCTGAAGCATAACTTTGTTTGCATTTAAACAAGGATAATGAAACTTGGTCATATGTACATTGTTCATATCAAAACGATGTTCAGTATACCAAATTCAGTATCTGAAACCCTTTTATTACAGTTATTGCCCTTTCTTAACATTTTGTTAAAAGTTGTTTTCGGGGAGCCTTCATCAGTTTCAGTTAAACTCTTGTCTTAATACTTTAAGTCTTTAAAGAAAATCGCAATGACTTGACATTTCTTAATTCTGAGCCATTATACTGCATGTTACCAATGTCATTTATCACGTACTTATTTCGGGGTGTATAATTGATACAAACGTATATAATAGCTGTGTCCAACTTTTTTGTGTGTGTGTGTGTGTGTGTGTGTGTATATGATTCTCATTCTCTGCACCCATCGACTCTCAAGCTTATCGCTATACTATCTGAGAGACTTAGACGATGGGAAGTAACTCTGGGAGATCAGAATGATTATTCAGTAACTGATAGACAAGTCTGGTTATTTTGTATAAGCCCCTTGTGACGACAATATATTTATACTGACCATTATCATAATCACGTGGGCTTGATAGGAGAAGTAACGATGTATTTATCTATATGGTGATATATATATCAATTAATTTCATTTTCTTAATCTAGCATCACTGGCCCCAGTTTCACGAATCTTCATTTACTTACTGAAATTCCAACCGCCATAGAAATGTTTTACGTAAGTTAGGGACAAACTTAAAAAGATGTATTGCGCTTTACCGTGGCGGAGCACCTACTTCAGCAAGTAATTGCTGCAATGAATATGAATAATAAAATTGAAGGATATTCGCCTTTAGATATTCGTATAAGAAAAAAAGAGAAAAAAAAACAAAATGTCAGTGGCTGGTAGCGAACGTGAGATCCAATGATAATAGCCACTTGTGTTGAATTCATCGAAATTTTATTCGTAATTTCGATATTGAAAGTATCATCAATTCACATTTTTGATCCAATGATAATGTTTTCAATTTTTCCGTATCAGAACATGCTTGTATCAGTATGCGAGTTAAGGATTGAAATTAAATCTGACCACACTTGATAAGGTTCAGTTGATTAAAAGTTGGTACATGTGTGCCCTGCGTATCAAAATTGAAGCGGAGATACCCCTATGTTTTTGTGCATATTTTTTCAGCAACTTTGACGATATGTACAAAATAAAATATGACACAAAATATAAGTTATTTTATTCCGATAAATGGTATTTGGACACAGCTCATTGAGATAACTTATCCGGATTTATCGAAATAAAAACGTATTTTTCCCATTTCATTGTTGGTTGCATGAAGATCAAATCAGGCGGTTACACGCCAAACCTCTTTAAGAAAATTTCCTTATCTTACGTAGTGCTTTCCTATGGGCAAATTCAAGTTTAGGAAAATTAATGAAACTGTGGTCTGATTGGCTATTTTTATCATATATTTGCTAGTTAGACATAGAAATTCATTAATTTGTTAAAAACTTCACTTTTTCTTAAACGTAATATTTTTACATATATATATATAAAATAGAGGTTCAGTGATTTTAAAACCATATTGCAGGTTTTATATTGTACTCTCAAAGACAACAATACTGATGAGTCCCCAATCCTCTCCTAAAGCAATTGTATGGCGCGTTTTTGTCCATATCTTATAGATTATATTTGCATATGTGATAAATACCACCTTTTTATGAGTAAATACCAAATCTAAAAATGGAGTTGAGGATATGTTCAATTATTTGTCTCTTTTAAATTTTAGCACACGTACATGTAGGTTAATGATCGATAGAGTGACACATTTCGTAAATCAAATTCCATATTAAAAATGTACATGTTTCATAGTATTGCAGAGCATATATAATTTCATTTGAGTATATTCAAATACGCCAGACTCAGTGTTCTCTACGGAAGTTTTCGATAGCCGGGTACTCGCAAGCCATTCCATCTATAACAGGGTTATGAGTTTTTTCCATTTTTTCTGCGTTTTAAAACTACCGTCAGTTACGTAGTAGCATTTGGAAATAATAATAATAACAATAATATATAAAATAAAACCAGCAAACACAAATTATACTTCCTTCATAAACAATTCTACATTCATTGATATATGTCCGATTATAAGTTACTTTAGAAAACACATGTCCTACAAAAATAATGTTTTTTAACAAAGACTTTAATTTAATCCTTTCATTTAACGATTTTAGGGATTCCCGGTACCAGAACCGAGCATGATATGGTAGTTTACCTATCGATTTTATCATGGTGTATATTGAGTAATCTACTGTATAATATAAGTTGTTGTATCGAGTTTGTTTGTGATGTTTTTTTCTGATTTGTAACTGATTATTTTTATAATTTGAATAAATTGTCATAAATCAAAATACACCATCACGCACTTTTTATTTGTGAATTACATTTTACCGATGTGATAGATATTTGATAAAATAGTTCTCAAATTATATGACGTAACATTGAGACATCGTTTTGTAATATAGATCTGCTAACCCTAACTGCTAAAGTTGAAAATATGTCCTTTTTTGGATTAGAGTTGTAATATATGATTTCAAACTGCGATATGTATTATGATTGACAGACACACGTGGGATTTGTATTTCATATCGATGCATTCCTTTATCAAAAGCTGCGATGGATTCAACAAGTTTAATAATCAGTAAATAAGCTGCATCATTCAAATATACATGTACCGCTCGTTTCGAAAATTTCTCTCTCTGATGAACATTGTAATCGCGAAGTTTAGCTTGACCTCATTTTATGCACCCGGATCGAAAAATCGAGGGCATATTGTTTTTGTACTGTCTGTTTGTTTAACTTGTGTCAACTTTCACTTTGACAATAACGTAAGAAATAGATCTTTCGAATTTGAAATGTGTGGTCCTTTTGACAAGACCTTTCCGGTGGAACCAAAGCTTTTGAACTTGACCGTGACCTTTACGCTACATTTGAAAAATTTGAAAACTGACCATAACTTTTGTAACGTAAGAAGTAGGGCTTTTTATATTTGGCGTACCTGTTTTCCATGTGATAAGGCCTCGTTAATTTTATCTCCAATATGATAATAATTTACATTAATTTGCATATCGAACTTCAAACTATAGCAACAATTCCAACCCAAGATATGAAATACTATGATGTCAATACAAATACATACAGATAGGGTGTCTCTCAACTTATAGGACAATTACTGTGACGTTTTGTTCAGTATCCATGAGGCTGGTTTAAGCCACGTGAACTCACATTAGAATACTACGCTTGAATAATATATATATAAAAAATACACTATTGGTGAAAATTAACGAGGCTCATATTTACCAAATAGTATCATAACATCAAGTTATTCATAGTTATGGGTTGTATGGGAGCAGTGACATTCATTTCTTAAAGACATTGTCTAGTTTGTACAATATTGAGAATTCTGTGTCTTGGCTGTTTCCATAACTAAATTGATCCATTATATATTATGAGTTTTTGTGTGAATAAACCCGATAACTAATACTGTTAAAATGTTGTTATAAAGAAGCATTTTCTTTATACAGTTATAATAATCGATATATCTGCCCCAACCTGCAAATCTTCTATGAAGCCTTGTTGACGGGGTTTACCAGCAGGTCATTTGCAATTATATCGACTATAATTACATTCATACACGGACGTTAGACCTTGTCATGTGACATGCTCTGTAGAGCTGGTGTGCATTGTACTATGAAATTATAATTTTTGCTTTTCTTTTGTCTTCCATCATCAATCTTGCAGCTTTGAGACGACATATATTTACAAAAAAAAAAAAAATGTCATCATTTGAACATGCAGTAAAAGTAAACAGAAACAAGGGTTTAGGTGTGAAATAAATTGCAACCGGTGTTTGTAAGTGTACTTTTAGATGAATTTGCTATTCCGAATGACAAGATGATAAAAACGAATGTAGGGGACTTTAATGCTCAATAAAAACGACGAGGCTTTTTGGGAGAGGGAGAGGGTTTAAACAGACTGAATTAATTAATGATCAGCGTATCAATTGGAGCGTAGTGTCACCTTTACCAAAGGGCATGTTCTGACACGGAACGAAGCGGCCATATGAGTCTGATTAGATCCGGCTCACCTACTATGCACGCCGCGCTATAGTCTGGGTTAACTAAACGCTCAAGTCACTTATTGCGTTTTGTTTACAAATCGTTCGAGCCAACATCAGTATATATATGTACACCGACCATGGCACCTGTGGAAGGGTTCTGGGGAAAGCAAACAGCAACAATTGATTGGTGTGAGGACAACTACAAAATAACGCAATACATAGCAGAATTTTGTAAGTTTTCTATTTATTTTGTGTTTATTTCAGCAAATCCCAGAAACCAAAGCCAACGGATATCCGTACGTTTTTTAATCGGTGGTCGTTGAAAGTAATTCTACAGGTTTATTCGGCTGTGTAATAAGATACAGTCAGCGATAACGAATGCACCTGCCCAGCAATGACAGTTTTCATTCTACAGTTACCTAGGTTATGTATTACAGTTACATAATGCAATCGTCTGCTAGTGTACTGGCTGTTATTAAAACAAACACCGGGTGGTTGCACAGCAACAAACCGTGAACAGTACACGAGGTACGAACGCTGTCCAGTACATGCTGTAGTGAGGTTGATGTACCTCATGATTTAACATATAAATGTCAAAAATAGGAAACTTCATTTTGATTAATTAGTATTAATGCTATTTTTTCCTTATTCACGTTTTTTCATTTACAGTGTAGAATTAACTTAATATTCCATTTTCCTATATCTAAGAAGTATATATATTGTAACTGTACACTTGTGTTTCCTATTAAATCTTATTGAGTACTTTGGGAACTGTACTGTATATTATGAAAAATCAAATCCAGTTGGGAAATGGGCCCTTACATTCAACCCCACAGATCCATCCCTGAGGAAAAGCCCTGAATGTGAATTGGCATTTGACAACATTAACTTTGATTTTGTTTTGCACAATTTCACAAGAGTGTCCACAACAAATACTTTGTTTATGGTGTTACTAGTTTCTATTTAAAGTACTGAAATCAAAGTCAACCTACCAGGTATTTCATTCTATTGGTTTTATAATCTAGAGTTCAAATCAGAAGACCTGTGTGTACATGTATTCTCGACAGTATTCGCACTGTTAATGTGAATATATGGTGTTTTTTTTAAAAAATTCTATTTGTACATGTGTGTATGTGTGTGTGAAATGTTGGGGTCAGTAGATGTGACAATCTATATATAGGTGACCAATACAACCTACTATACGACCCTGTGCCATATCCATTCATCGAGGAGTACTCAAGCATGGCCAATCCATAGGATCAATAACGGCAACTGCCAGCAATCACCACTACCATTTCGTTCAGCCCACAACTCAGATTTTCAGTGAGAGAGCTTGTGATCAAACCTATTCAATGTATTAAAGGTATTTTGATAATATACATGGGTTTTAAAGCTAAAGTCATTGCCATGAGGTATTGATGACCTAGAACCATGTCGATGGTCACCACACTTGAATTGTCCATACAGCTTATTCTATTGTTCTTGTTTATCCATTTGATCAATAATTCATTCATTTCTACTACAAATTCTCTCTATAATCAATCACGACTTTCTCGAATCATTAAACAGAAACTGGTCATAATTAACATTAATTTTTCAGTTTGGGTCAATCATTTACGGCAGATCAGAAGGTACTTAGATAAGTAAGTTATAAATGCCCGTGGTAAATTTTAATTTCTGCTGCATTTAAATGATACTTGAGATCACAATTAGTGATGTCAATTAAGGTACGGTATACAGATACCAACAATTAACATTTTAACGTTTTTGGTAATGATAGCATTGACACACCAATTAAAATTCATAGTTCAAAGTACAGACACATTAAATACAAAAGAAAGAAAGTCTTACTTTATGGTATAGAAGTAAATGTCAAGAAGAATATACTTAAAAGTATACACAAAAGGATTTGTGAAGTGGAAGAATTTTTATAAACAATCTGATGCAACAGTTCTACGATAATTATAGATCTGTGTCTGTTGGGTCCACCAATATCTGCCTCTGTTCAGTTACAGTCGTCCATGTGATAGAATTACAATGTATTACCATACAAGTACATAGTTATTTGAACAGGTAGATCATAAGTAAAGTTATGTAGCACAGATCTACCAGCAGTACAGTATCAGTTTCTGACGCAAAGGATACCGACAGATCCAACATAGATACAACATCATTGATGTTATTGATACATGTTATCACTTAAACACAACAGACATCTAGATTTCTGTAATGGTCAAAATTATGAAATTGGAAATATTTATCAAATTCCTCGGTTGTTGTTGTCCAGCTGCTACACTTCTATGTACCAGCTGTTACACAGGTATAAAGTTTAACTTTCTGTATAAGGTATAGCAGGATACACCACACCCTGTAATAAATGCTAACAAACTGTCAAAGATTTATTCTAACATCTATAAAAAGTATATTGATGCTTTTAATATCGGTTTTGTGGAGAGATAGATCAGTTTAAAAACATACCTTAAAGAATTCTTAGAAATATAGGTTAGGAATTCTTGGAAACATATATGAGTAATTCTCGGAACTGTACAGGTGTGATATATATGTGCTAAAATAGATATAGATATACAATTATATAAACATTAGAGAGACATGATATGATACTGAGACATATTTACTCTACATTTTTACAAACAAATCTCATTTTGCGATATATTAAAATATTTAAAGGGATATTGCGATATATCATTATAGAATATTTCAGTACATTTAAATGATTTTTTGTAGAACAAAAGTGTACTTAAGAGAGAAATAATTTAACAACAAAATTTTTGAAGTTAAATTTATCAGATCACATAAAAATCAGTTTTACATCAAACAAGTTTAATTAAGGTTTCAATAAAATTTCTGTGCAAAAGCTCTGCAGTTAAAACGTTCAACAGTTGAGGAAATTAGCTGCAATAATACTGTGATACTGAAAGTACATTGCAAACATTGACAACTGTTCTGATGTATTGATTATCACTGCCCCCACCCTTCTTATCATGGTCACAGCAGTATAAAACCCCAGGAAGACCTTCTTATATAAATTTTGAGAAGATTTAGTGAGTCCTAATATTTTTATCAGATGGAACCTGGGACAGAGTGCTATAAAAATAGTGATATTTTAATCAGATGAAACCTGGGACAGAGTGCTATAAAGTGATTCCTAATACTGTATCAGATGGTTCCTGGGACAGAGTGCTACAAATTGTCAAATGACCTCATCTAAATGATTTTGACCTTAATTCTGTCAAAATCACAGGGGTCAAATATGGTGAAAAACACGGCTTTCCATATTTTTTTTCACTCAGGAAGCAAACTGAAAAACATTTATATGAAAGTAGATTTTCAAGACATATTATGAAATCGTGCATGAAGAAGTTGGCCCAATCGACATGTACAATGTAACTCCCCACTCCCCTCCCCCCACACACCTCACTCCTACCCTTAACCCAAAAAGTGCCCAGATGAGACCTTCTAAGGGCATTCATATAATGGCTGAATTGTAATATACTTGTCAGGATAAACACACTGATATTGATCCTCAACTTGGAATCAATACATTTACATGGTATGTTTAGAAACAACATACATACATCATGACACAGAGATTTAAGGCTAAACATATTTAAGTACATAAGCAGTCCTAAATATTCACAATTCATTGTTATGATAATGTGGTTTATAAGCCGAATCCGAGGGTAAATACCAAACTTGTATATTTTGGTTACATACCGTGGCATGTAAGATATTAATTTTAAACCTGATGGCATTTGTTAAAATGTGACTATATTATATTTCTAGCACTATTTTAGAACTAGATCATAATTCATCTTTGTCAGTTTAAAAAAAACCAATAGTGTCACCAATTTCATAATTAGAATCCATTCAGTTTTCATACAAGTAGCTGGGACCACAGTAGATCTGCCGTCAGGATATTGGCCTCGGGCGAAGATCCGAGACATGGTGGTTTGTGTTTGTTTCGATGCTGTGAAACAGTGAAACAAACAATATTAGTTTGTTCTCAGGAATTTAAAGATTTAACAAAATGAGTTTTCTTAAGTCATAATCGCTTATAATGAATAAAATGATTGAATTTCAGCTTATAAATGTAATTCTTTATTTATTTTTTTGACTGTTAAATGATCCGGTTAAGACCAAAAAGAAATAAAATGCTTGATTCACTAAGTACGGTATATGTTACCTAGAATATACAATCATGTACAGAAGTTGATTTACAGGATCTAGGAGCTGAATTTTATACAAAGATCCCAAGTGCGTGTTCAGATAACAGTTTTTCACTTAGATACATCTTATTTGGTCACATTCTTATCCTGGTACCAATGTAAATGATTAATAAACATGAATTTTTAATTGGATATCTACATATATACTTACAAAAATGCTAAATGCATTTCAATTTCCGTGCTAATGACTGGTTCACTGTATCAACATGAATAATTTATGAATAAATTTTATGAGTAAGTGATATTTGACATGTAATATCTGTTATTGATTACAAAGCTTAAGGTGATATGTACAAGTTTGTACATGAAAATTTAACATATTAAGTTTACAAATTAGAATGTCTATAGCAAAAAAAGTTTATAATATTTGGTATCTATATTTAGTAGTATTCCAGCTAAGATAAGTAAAAGATATATTTAAAGATTACATGCAGTGTTAATCAAATTTTGACTCAAAAAGCAAAAAGCTGTTGTCAGAAATGCAGTTTTATTTCATAAATCATGAGTACAGCTCTTAACAAAGGTATTCATTCTAAAATATTCCAACCTTCTCCTTGTTTGCTACAGGGACATTCATGTCGGTGTGACACATCTAATTTTTTTTTTTTTTTTAGTTAAGTATAAAAGTCTTCAAAGCCTTGTAAATTTTTCATTCCTTCATATGTTTGTATAAATCAGCTGTGTGCCACTGGAGAAAAACGTTTTTAAAAAATAAAAAAATGCCTTATGTAAGACAATGGGTATTTTATATAGAGGCGGGGCTACCATCCAGACATAACCTTGGGGTACTTGGTAAGCTGGAGCTGTTTCTTTTGACTCAATGCTGATATAAGACTGTTCTTTTTATACTGTCATTAACATTGTAAACCCTTACCAGTAATTCAGTCTCTTCCTGTATATGTAGTGATTATCTAGGTGACAGCTGAAAAAGTCATGTATGTGCCTCTGAATTCTTGACTTTCAGTAGATTTTGTCCATCATACT